TTTCATCGGTATCTTTTTTTAACCTTTCTCAATATTCATGAAACTAATGATTTGTAATGTAACATTGATCCGTCTGGAAGCCATAGCGGGACTGGGATCTGGTTTCTCCTGCAAGAGAACATGAAAAGAAAGCTGCACATTACCGAACGACCTTCGCCAAGTGCTCGATCGATACAATGTCGGGAAAGGGAGATGCCGGTGACCTCGATCCAATGATGTTGTGATAATATTCGTAACCTTTTGACTGCCCTGATACGGAAGGCGGTCAATATGCATCGGATTGCCAATCTATCAGACAGTGTGTGTGTTAGGTGGTGGTGGTGGAGGGGGGTGCCCAGAGAATGGAACACCGTTGTGTGTTGGGGGGGGGGAGGTGCTCAGAGAATGGAACACCGTACCACAGGGGTCTTTATGCTTGGTTTGCAGAATCTTTCCATCATTATTTCCAACTTGACTTTAGATTCTTTATAAGTGTAACGTTACTAGCTTTCATAATCTCCTGTTGGCAACTGTTTTACACCTTTTATCTCTTTATTTTCTACAACAATAAGAATCTTTCCATCATTCCGTCGAACTTGACTTTACATTCTTTACAACAGTAACATTACTTCCATAATCTCCTGTTGGCAACTGTTTTCCATCTCTTATCTCTTTATTTTCTACAACAAAAATGTTCTCTTTTTTTTCTTGTAACACAGCACCTTTCATCTTTAAAGCAAGCTCATGTTCATTACTGCATGCAGTGATGACTAATTAAAAATCATGATCACACACTTCTTCCTTCTCTTGGTGTAAGAAGGATAATGACATGAAGTACTCGGTACCCAGACACAGTAAGACTGTGATGTACGTGTAACAACAGTTCAGCACCAAGGAGAGGACCACTATAGGAAAGCTCCTTGCCCTTACAAAATAAGAACCCCAAAACAGTCCCCCAAATTGGGTCACTTTACACTACCTACTTGGCCCAAGGCTGTTTAACCTTTGTCCTGCTGTAGTAGCCTATTGGCACCAAATTTGTGTTGGTTATGGGGTTAGGCAGCAGGGAGAAGGTTCATCCAATTTTGTGTGAAATTACAAAGACATTCAGCTCAAGCATTAGATGTGCTGTCAATCACAGTCTGTAGTCAGACCAACATTCTAACAAGTATATGGACTCCATCCTTTGAATTCAGGATCAGAGAGGGTTCTGAAATCATAACTAATTATGTCAAATTGTATTTCTGTGAAACCTTTTGACACACCATGAAGTGTTTGAGCCAGAAGAGCCAAGGCAGCAAGATTGTTGCCGTCTTTAATTTGCTTTGACGGTTGATCTGCGTACGGTATTAGATCCCCTTGGTTTGCAATCTGTAACCCCTCCTACCCTCTGGCATGTGTGTGCAGATGAGTGGCAGCCAGGGATGAGCCCAGATCAATGGTTATCTTGATTACAGGTCTTTAGAAGTCAGGAAACCCATTAGAAACAAACCACATACACAAGCAGTAATCAATACTATATTGTACCGGAAAATTACAATGGCGCTACTGGGGCGAAAACACCTTACGGTTTGGAAGCAATCCCATGCTTTGACTCCCCACATAAGGCCACAGCAATCTAATTTGTTGGTTCTCGGATCTTTCCAGAAAAAATATGAAGCGACAGGGCGAAAAAAAAATAAAAATGAAAACAGGCCTAGACATCATATTATGGCCCAAAATGCTACAATAGGTGCCATGAAGACAACACAAAAGGCTGGGCGAATATTTAAACAATGAATTTTGAACTTTAAATCAAACCACTGCATTGATAGATGAAATTGTAACAACTAGGAAGAAAAGGACTTTCCTCAACAGTTAGGGGCAAAATATGAGCATTTTTGAGTTGATTCAGAACCAGAATCTTTTTTTTTTTTGCAAATCAGAAAAAAGTGAAGAGGCGAATCCGAGAACCAACAAATTAAATTGATGTGGCCTAAAAGGGCAGTGTTTCTCTCTGCGAGTGTCTCTTGATGTTTATCAAAGGTATCAGTCATGAAGATCATGAATTATGAATGTGCTTGGTAAATATTGCATGCGGCATCCGTGTTATGGTGTGTCCAGTGGTTACTCGAGAATGTTGACATCAAACATGATACATTCATGTATACATCGGTGCAGGGAGACTAGTGGACAAAGGAGGGAGTTTTGATGTAATTTGGTGTACAGTCGATTCAATTATGTTGTCAGAAGTTGACAGTTTGAGGACGGACAGTGTAGTGTGATAAGTTTGGATGATAGGTTATGACAAACTGTCCAGTGTTCTTACTTCAACATCTCAATTCATGTAACATTTCTTGTGAGTTTATAAATTGCTAATTAATAATGGACGTAGGCTTTTAGAATTAACATGTACATGTAGTAGAACATTCTGGATTGACAATAACACATAACATCTAGAGAGAATAGAGACATAACATATAGAGAGAAAAGTTTCAAATCAACTGTCAGATTTACTTCTGTGTCTGTAACGATAACCTCATACATTGTACATAGGACAGGTCTACCATAGCTCCTGCCTTCTCACCATGTACATTAACCACCTTTCTACATGACAGAAAACATGCTTTTTGCCGTGGACGATATGAGAGGGAAGGCAAATGACAGATGACTTGTTCAGAACAGACTGTCAGCTGACATTCTAAGCTGTATGAATATGAAGTAAAGCTCCGTCCTCTGACAGCGGCGGTGCCCCTTTCAAGACAGATAAATGCCACTGCACTCTGAAATGTCAGAGGTGAAAGGCCACTGACCAGGCTGTATTTCATGCCTGCCTGAAGGTAAAGCACTCCCCGAGGTAGAAATACACAGATCAATATCTATTTCCTGCCAGTCTAGCAGAACGAATCCTCCAGCAAGAAGGAAACAGGAAAGACAAACGTGCAATGTTTCTCTAAGTAGACGAAGTAGAAAAAAAATCAACAAGGAAGCAGACAGAATTCAAATATGATGTAGTCATCATAGCATCATTTTTACAAAATAATTTACATAAGGTACTGCAAGAAGGAAACAGGAAAGACAAACGTGCAATGTTTCTCTAAGCAGACAAAGTAAAAAAAAAGATCGACAAGGAAGCAGACAGAATTCTGATTCATTCAAATATGATGTAGCATCATTTTTACAAAATGATTTACAGAAGGTACTGCAAGAAGGAAACAGGAAAGACAAATGTGCAATGTTTCTCTACGCAGATGAAGTAAAAAAAAAATTGACAAGGAAGCAGACAGAATTCTGATTCATTCAAAATTAATGTAGTGAGGAACTGACAACAATGTGCAAGTCATCATAGCATCTTTTTTTGACAAAATGATTTACAGAAGGTTGGCACATTATCAACCAAGTGCTTTTTTGACAAGGAAGCAGACAGAATTCTGATTCATTCAAATATCATGTAGCAATCAAGGAATTTAAAACAAAGTGCAAGTCATCACAGTATCATTTTTACAAAATGATATACAGAAGGTTGGCACGTTGTTAACCAATTGCAGCCTCTCTTGGCACAGGGACCCTTCTGCGGGAAAAAAATCAAGAAGGAAGCAGACAGAATTCTGATTCATTCAAATATCATGTAGGGAGGAATTTTGACAACAATGTACAAGTCATCATAGCATCATTTTTACAAAATGATTTACAGAAGGTTGGCACGTTGTCAACCAAGTGCAGATTCTCTTGGCACAGGGACCCTTCTGTGGGGAATTATAGGTTGTGTCGAATGTAAAACTCTGACATTTTCCCTTTGCACACAGGGACGATGATGCCTCTCCTCACTGATGATGTCTGAATAAAACAGTGCCATTAATACTCAAATGATTCATGGTTTATCACAAGCGTTTGAAGTGTTGTGAGGCTGTGTCTCAAGTACCCATACAGCATTTGTTAACAAGGTCAAAGTGGTGTCAGTGTTTTCCACAGCATGCTGGAAACTTTATTGATCAAACCAAAGTCTGTATATAGCCACCATATTTGGATGCTGTATCATTTTAGTATTATGTGATAACTGGGAGCAGGAATGCTGTAAAAAATTCCTGGAAACCTGTGGCAGATATAATTTTCTGAAACAAGTTTCTCACAAAAAGCCTTTAAAGCCGACACAGTTGCTTACAAACTGTCAAAGTCACACATTTTGTCTGGCCTTTTATTATAAATCACATTTTCTCATTAAGTTGACAAAACTGCAAATTTTCCCAACTGAATTCCAGGTTTAAAGCTTGTCTTTAGGAAAGGAAAGGGGAAAGATATCTGGTGCAAACTGGGAATACACATAACACTGTATCACGGCTAGATATAATCCTGCCATGACAGAACTAGAGTGATATTAAAAGCACTCCAGATCCATGGCTCTCAGAACACAGGCTAATGTTTAATTGATGACACTTGAAAAAACATATGGCTATATGGACTGTGCACGTGCATAATGGGGACTACACACTGCTTGTCTACTATGCAATCCTATGACTAACTAACACAGCTCATGAAAAATTTATGTCCAGATTAAATGTACAGTGGGTTAGATACATGACATGTCCTGAGCAACATTCTGCAATATTTATTATTATTATTATACGATAAGTCTTCATAATATGTGCTCTGGTGCAACAGCACTCTTCACTTAAACTCCAAAGGACACAGAATTTAGAAATCTGATAATTATCCATTTTTATGCAAGATGTACAATATTGTAAATGCTGCGCTCACTCGGTGGCTTGATTCGGTGGTTATAGCAACTGACAAGGCTATATTCACCTTGGGGCAGGTCATTAACTCGTAATTGAGAAACCATGACACAGTGTCTTTATCTTTATGACAAGTTTGCATGCTTTTAATATTAAGATATTCCAAATTGTCCATGTTTTTTTCAAACTCAAATTGACCAGTGTTGCATGATATTGTGAGCAGAGTAAGTTTATGATGTTCTTTGACCTTTCTCGGAGTCTGGATGTAATTTTTCACCGGGAGTTAATAAAACATGTTCTTCCTTCCAGAACTGCCCACGCGAGGGCAAAGGCCGAACAAGCAGACATTGCCAGACAACACGCAAGAGAAGAATCAGACATTGCACGATTAGTCGCTCGGCAACTGTCTCCAACCTTCCACCAACCAGGTAAGAGCAGTTACTAATTACATCACCCTCAACATGGCCGTAGCCAGGAATTTGAATGGGGGGGGGGGGTTCTTCCCACTGCTTGAGGGACCAGTGAGTGCAAGGTTCCTGGGGGTTCGGGGGCATGCTCCCCAGGGAAATTTTGAAAAATTAACCTTCTGAAATGGAATTTCCAGCAATTTTTAGAGGATTTCAAAGAAAAAATCAGAGGTAACTTTTTTCAATGACAAAGTGAGCAGTTTTCCTACTATTCCTGCCTTGCTGGTGACACGAATCAGTCCATCTTTTAAAGAAAAATCTTGGACCTCTGGATAAAAAGTGGACCAAAAAGTGGACCTTCAGCCTTGTGGGGGGGGGGTCATCAAAACCCTCCAAACCCCCCCTGCTCAAATACCCATATAGTTTCCTATAATAAAGTATATGATGGACGTTCAGTTTGTTTGTTACTATACAAGACCCTCAAATCAAACGCGTCAGTAGTAGTTTGTCTGAATGATCAGCAGAACCCATAGTGAACAAAGGTTGAATTGGCACTATTTGTGTTGCAATGTTAATTTTGCATCGATAACACTAAAACTAAAGCTGGATTTACTAAAGAAGTGCATCCGAACTTTATATTTGCCAGGCCTCTCCAAAGCCAGTATTAAAGCATGAACCATTGTTAGCTTGCTCGCAGGCCTTCTAATTAACTCTTAAACAGTGCTGGGTCCACATTTCTGAACAAAAATAGAAACTTGAGTTACCACAGCTAACTTCACACCTACTTGTGAGTCAACCAGGCACTTTTGATGTATCTCCAACAAAGCAACCATTGCCAACATCACAGAAGTCTCAGCCTGGTCAGTATTATCATTGATGGGCCGACTAGAAAAGATCACACATAGTTTATCAATGCATGTCATAATACTTATTGTTGTTTACAATCTCGGTATTTTATTTTCATATTTTTCATGTTTATGTGAGACTTGTATAATATCCTTTAGGTAAAGAAATCATCACACACCAAGATTACTGTGGAAAGCATTTCTCACAACAAGAGTTCCAAGATCTCATACCTCCACCAAATATGGGCTTGATATGTAAATGTCAATTTCTGCAATTATGCAAATGACCTCAACATTAACATAATAGATGCATCATGTCCCAAGTATGAAATTCCAATCATTTACTACTAAGGAGTCATAGAATTTTCAGATTAATTATGCAAATTAGGTCCGTATTTGCATAATTACCTAAACAAGAAACCTCTACAATTATACATTCTGCTTATTAGGACTGTCTGCAAACTGTTGGCAAACTATCCTTGCAGCAGTTTGCCAATCATAAAATTGGGCACACTTGTTCTTCCATATTCACAATGGCAGATCTTGCCAGAAAAACATACCTGCAACTCTGGCAGGAAATGAACCATCAGTTATCACAAGCAGGTCTGACAAGAAGGGAGGGCATGATGGTAACAAATTGGGAAGGGAAGGAGGTTGATGGAACAGATACGCACAGCTACTTCATGAAAACTCCGAGCAGGAAATTCTCTTTCCCATTAAAATGCACAGGGTTGACTGACCTGAACTGCAACTTAGATTTTGTATGCAACCTGAAGACAGTATGCTTAAAAAAATCAATTGTTGCCAAATACTTGGATAGAAATCATTGTGATCTGTAACTCTTGAAGGGTGTAAATGTAGGATTACTTTGGGATTAGAGCTCAAAGTATATTTTTTTCTGTTACTTGCAATTTCTAATTTGTAATTTCTGCATTACATTTTCTGCAATCTAGTAAATTTTAAGTGGGTTTTTCAAACCCTCTGGAGTGTTTATGCGAAAGGAAAGGTATAAATCGTTTTCTGTGTAAGATAGTGGTTCTACATATTGTACAGTACGCATATTATTCAAAACGGTGGCGAATATGTCATGCGCATCCTGCAATACCGTTCCCGGAACATGCAGCATTATGGACGGCATTTATCTAGCAGCCCCATGGGTCTCCGCAACACGGAATTCTGGACATAAATTACGTTCTTGCCGTCCCTTTCGGCAGTTGGGTAATGGAATTATTCAGCATCAGAAAATTGATCAGTAAGGCCACATCAATTTAATTTCTTGGTTAACGGATTCGCCCGCTTCATTTTCTTCTGATTTGCAAATAAAAATAAAAATTCAGAATCAACTGCAAAATGCTCATATTTTGCCCTGAACAGTTGAAAACAGTCCTTTTCTTCCTAGTTGTTACAGTTATTCCAGTTATTTCAATGCAATGGTATCGTTAAAAGTTCAAAATTCATTGTTTAAATTTTGAACCAGCCTGGTGTGTTGATTTCATGGCTCCTATCGTACCATTTTGGGCCATAATACGATGCCTAGGCCTGTTTTTATTTTTATTTTTTCTTTCGCCTGCCCGCTCGATTAGTTTTCTAGAAAAATCCGTTAACCAAGAAATTAAATTGGTGTGGCCTAAAGAAAGGAATCATTCCAGGTGGTCCCCTTACATAAGGCTGAACAGACTTTTGATGTGGGGAAGAGAGAGTATTTTATAACCTTCTATACTTTGATCCAAGGAAGTGGGTTGTATATATGTGCAACGAAACATAATTATCTATATTATGTCCATTTCTCTTTCCCAAAAGGCAGTGAATTTAGGCCACTTCACGATAAATTAATTACAGCGACACCAACATCAATGGGTTCTATACTAAATTCAATGTACATGGATTGAAAAACAATTATTCGTACTAACGTTACAGACAATGTCCTTTCGTGAAATCTAGCAGTACATGTGTAGGCCATTTTGTAGTAAAAAATGTATCATAGCAACAAACATCCATACACTGTCACCTCTAATAGAATTATTTACCTCCCTGGCTAGTCAAAATTAGATTTACGTGTAAAAGGGCACAACATGCTACCAACATTGGGTCCTAGGATGACCACATATGCTGCAATAAAAAAAGATATGCTTTTCCATAAATGTTAGTTAGTAACGTAATAAGGAAGGTACTAAAAAGGAAGGTGACAAGATACCACATAAAGATACAAATTTATACAATAACCTTACTGCGCCAAAATTTTATTTTCAGTTCTATATAAAAGATAATGCTCAAATTGAGAATTAACCTTTGTAGTATATTCCAATATCTTCATATTCCAGCACTAATTTGGTTCACTTTATCTAAAGTATCCCATTAGCACCAGTACACAACCTGTCTGTTTTACAGAAGATCTTTCAGTGAAAGAGAGAAACCTTATCAAAAAGTTAATGAATTGGGAAGTATTTAGGACGACGGCATATGCTGTCCATATTGTCTTATTGATTACAATTGTATGTTTGGTGACAATCGATCATTGTCTGGATGAAATGAGAGCTGAAATCATCCTTTTCATGTTTATTTTAGGCCGCACAAATCTAACTTGCTGGTTCTCGGATTTTTTTAGAAAAAATATGAAGCGACAGGGCAAAAAAAAAAAAAATGGTGTAGGCATCCTATTATAGACCCAAATGCTAAGATAGGAGCCATGCAGTCAACACAAAAGGCTGAGTTAATATTTAACCAATGAATTTTGAACTTTAAATCGAACCACTGCATTGATAGATGGGAAAACTTTTTTAACATCTAGGAAGAAAAGGACTTTCCTCAACTGTTGGGGGCAAAATATGAGCATCTTTGAGTTGATTCAGAACCAGAATCTTTTCTTTTTGCAAATCAGAAAAAAATAAAGAGGCGAATCCGAGAACCAACAAATTAAATTGGTGTGGCCATAACATTTCTATACATGGTGAAAAATCAGAATTCCATGCAGGTGCAGTACGTTCTGCCAACATGCTGCTAAACCATGTCCTTACTGCCATATTGAAGTAGAATTACTGATGCCCATGATGACAGGGATTACCGGATGATGACGATACGATGCCACTTGATGAAGTCACTCTCTTTAATGGCTGGGATAGAAAAATTGTGATGCAGTCAACATCTCAACTTCCTTTCATACATATTAACTGCAAGTTGTCACCGCAGATCAACACGTACACACCAGGACATGAAGATTAATGGGATAGGGATGACATTAGGGTTGACTTTTGCACACGCTGAATGAAATTGTGTTGTCAGTGGTTGGCAGATAGTGGAGGTGAAGAGAAGTGTGAGAGGCAGGGTTGAGTGAAATTAGCTTCGCTGTAAGACTGCAACAGAATACCAAGTGTCGTTCATTCAAGATTTCGTTTGATGTTATACGCAGTTTTTAAAAAGGGAGGGTCAATATTCATTTGCTCTTTAACCCTTTTTGTCCCTGGACCAGTCATTTAGGCCACACCAATTCATTTTGTTGGTTCTCGGATATTTTTAGTTCAAAAGATAGCAAGCGGACATCATAAAATGAGAGGGCTAGGAAGAAAACTAGAATATGACTGTATTTACTACAAAACACTGAGTCCACCGAGTCATCAACCTGGTCCTCAGACTTTGCTTTCATAAGGTTTTTCCAGTTAACCATATTAAAAAAAAATCCGAGAACCAACAAATCAAATTGGTGTGGCCTTAGCTCTATAGCATCTGTTAACCCTGATACTACCATTTTTGACGTATCACACTGACACTAGGTAAAAAGCAAATGCAGAACATTTCTTAACTGTTAGTTCAAGAAACAAGAAAAGCAAATAGTCAAAATCCAGCCTTTTCTACCAATAAATTAGCAACTGTAGTGATTCAGAAGTCTGTTAATGAAATTTTGACATAATAGCAACTTGTTAATTAAAACTTCCATAATGTCAGGCAGGCAAAACTTAAGCGGTTTCACTAGGTAAAAAGCAAATGCTGAACATTTCTTAACTGTCAGTTCAAGAAACAAGAAAAGCAAATAGACAAAATCCAGCCTTTTCTACCAATGCAGTAGCGATTCAGTCTGTTATTAAAATGAAATTTTGACATAATAGCAACTTGTTAATTAAAACTTCCATAATGTCAACAAGGCAAAACTTAATCGGTTTCACTAACTAAAAAGCAAATGCTGAACATTTCTTAACTGTCAGTGCAAGAAACAAGAAAAGCAAATAGACAAAATCCAGCCTTTTCTACCAATAAATTAGCAGTAGCGATTCAGAAGTCTGTTAATGAAATTTTGACATAATAGCAACTTGTTAATTAAAACTTCCATAATGTCAAGCAGGCAAAACTTAATCGCTTCCCTTCCACGCTCTTTTGGCACAGGTTTTAATACGGAGGCAATCAGAGGAGATTTGGGATGCCTCGGTGAGCAACTTAATTGCTGCTCCGGCGTGTCTGATCTCTTTTTTTCTCTGACTCAGAGTTTCTCAGCGACAGCATTTGCAAGTTGCAATGTGTATTCTGAGATAAAGGGAAACGTTGTCTATCTCTGTTTGCAGACAGTACTACAAATGTAGCAGGGTTGTGGATGATCTTTGTCTTGATTTCTTGCTGAACTGCATTTGTTGATGTCATTTAGTGCTGCAGTCACCTGATAATGATAGAGTGAGGAGTCTTAAATGTGATACTCTAAATTCATCTATTTTCACTGGAACTTTTAAATTTGAAAATTTCTCAGTTGAAGGGAAAAGGAGGCTTTAATTGTTTTGTTTTAAGGCCACACCAATTTGATTTGTTGGTTCTCAAAGGTTGCAACAAAGAAAAGATTCTAGTTCTGAATGAACTCAAAAGTGCTCATATTTTATCTGCAACAGTTGAGGAAAGTCATTTCCTTCCCAGTTGTTACAGGTTTTCCAGCTTTGTGCTAATTTCATGGGCTCCTATCGTAGCATTTGGGGCTATAAAGGATGCCTAGACCTGTTTTTTTTTTCATCGCTTCATATTTTTTCTGAAAAAATCTGAGAACCAACAAATTAAATTGGTGTGGCCTAAAAAGTGTGAGAACGTCTGGGTAGAGGGAAATATTACTGCATTGGAAGGGAGGAAAGATATCCAGCCGGCCTCTGTAATGAGAGCTGTCAGCTTTACTTGGATGTTTTGGTATTCCCAGTACCGGCAGGACTCTGACGTCAAGACGAAATGTTTGCTACAAGGAACGGAATCCTCTTGATACCTCCTCCCCTTTGCCTCCCTGCATCTCTGCATGCTAATTCAACCTTTAGTATGTGGGGCTGATACCCACCGAGACTGCACCCATTACAGCAAGCCATAAATAACAGACCTGGGCTGCAGGCTGCCTGGATTCCTTATGCTTTAATCTCGCAGCCCGCTTATTTTTTTCCCTAATTACCACAATTTTTGCTGTACAGCCCTCCTACTGGCTGCTCATTTTGCCAGTTTCTCCAGTAATCTGCATGTAAGATTGAGCCGAGAGCTGTAGTTTCAACCTCTGTGAGGAAACCTTCCTCTAAAATGAACTTTCCTCTGAAATTTCATCAGAAGTGAAACACTCGAAGGAAAAAGAAGCCTTCAAGCTTGCACCAGGGGCTACAGTTATCTGTATGTTCATGTAGGATCATTCTAGAGCAGTGGAGGGTAATATTTTCGTCTTCTCTTTCTCAGTGATGAGGAAATAGTCCTTCCCAGACTAACTAAGCTGGCTTTATATACGAGACATTTGCCAGGGGAGTTTGGCCGCCCTGAAAAGAAACTACCTCCCCGCGGCCGGACTCCCTTGGCCAATTTTACTCTCTTTTTTGCCAAATTCTACGATTCGTATTCCCGTAGAAAGGCCTGGTGGAGGCTAAAGAGGAAACATCTCTCTATCTGGAAGGGACTAAAAAAAAGGAAAATATGGTTCCTCTACCTCGCTATAGACAATCGTCTTCAACTAGATTGTTTGATCAACATTCCTTATCCAATAAAGAGGTTGGCGGCATTTGATGCTCATTAGACACCGCTGCGACGGCTCTCATTAAAAACCGGTTTGTCTGGATGCTCATTTAGTCTTTGGGCATAGACTCAACACCAGCAACAGGTGATGGTGTAGCATCGCTGGGATTGAGACACTGCATTGCAAAGTAGTCCCACAGAAGCAGAGGGAGGATGGAAGGAGGCCTAACTGGGAGTTACCGAAAATGAACATCCATGCAGTCGCAAACAGCTCATGTTATTAGCTTCAGCATGATTTACATGTATGTAACATGCACAATGCGTTGCTGTGTGTGTGCTTGGGGCCCAGCATGATAAAGTTGTTTTTTTTGTACCTTTGGGCTAGATACTGTAATTCACTTTATGTTCATGGTAGCAAAAGTTCACGGTCTGAGAAAATGGACATGTTCACAGAACTAACGTTATATATTCACGGTGGCGACAGGTGCAGGAAAAAGAAAGTCCAGGAATTATTTGTTAACTGTAATGATAAGTTCATGGTACAGAAGTGACAGTGAAAACAGTGAACATAATAGTACAGTGAAAAAAAAATCAGGAATTACAGTAGCTCATGTTATTAGCTTCAGCATGATGTATGCAACATGCACAATGTGTTGATGTGCTTGGGGGCCAACATGATAAAGCTGTTTTTTGTTAAACCTTTGTACTAGAAAATTGAATAACAGTGTGGTCACACTCATCGTATGTCATCGTACAATTTTGATGTCATGGGATTTTTAAGCAGACTGTGAAAGAACAAACCACCGCTGAGGATTTCAGACACAGCAGTTTTCCATAGCAAGATAGCTGAAATTTGCACAACAGATGCCAAGAATAAATTCAGTTTGCAATTGCACAACGATTGCACAACAATTGCACAATGTATGGAAAGAATCAAGAGAAGGTTGAATAGTACATGCTATGAATAGTACATGCTAAAATCAATTACGTTACACCTAAACTATGTTAAATTATGGGTGTCAACGATTACTGCTTTGCAAAAATGCTACAACAAACAAAAGCTAACTACACGTAAAAACAATGAAATGTTAGACACAGTCTATCATATGTAAGTGTTCTGATGTCTGTAGACGTGAAACCCGAGACCAAAAAGCCAGAATAATCCTACCTAGGACACATCTGTGTTAAAGCTGCTTGATCCTACAGAGTCCTAAATGGAACATTCTATTGGAGCTTTATGGCCCATGTTTGAATTGGTTTCTGAGCAGTTAAGAACTTTGAAGGTTAAAAGGTGCGATAGTTGATAAGATTTCACTGTTTGACATTTTCCCTCCACTCTGCCGATAATTCCACATGCTTTATATGGAAGCTCTTTATAGATAAGACGGATGTGTCGGGGGCAGTGGAAAACTAGGATTAGGTACACCAGGGGTGTCACTGTCTTTCTGTCAATGGACAGGATTTTCCTGTTTGGGATAATGATTTTTTTTTTATATTCCAACATTTCATGACTAGACATGGTCACAGCACACTCAAGTTATATCAACTTATTTTATGCTGCCACCAACGCAGGGGACGAATACAGGACAAGACAATACATGGAAAAGATGTGTAAAGTGCCTTTCCCAAGGGCACAAGATCGGTGGCATGTCATGACTCGAACCCAGGACCTCTTGGTTCTGAGTCGAGCACGCTGCCGCTATGCAATACCACCCCATAATTTCAACCATTCTGTCTTCATTGATGGACAATCAACAATACATGACATTCAACCATTCTCCACCTTCTGCCTTACAGACTTAAACAGCTCAAAAAGAGACTAAAAGGTTCTACAGCGATCTTGATCGTGACATTAAAGTGTTTTTTGATTCCCCTCTCTGCAGGTCTAGAGTACATAAAGAACAGGGAAGAAGCGGCGGCCAAGGCAGAGGCTGCTGAAACAGCTGAGATGGCCCTCGCTCAAGCCGCCTCTCCCGCCCAGGCCAGCCCGCGCCCCAGCGCAAGACTCGTCACTCCCGACATGGCCAGAAAAGCCGGAGCGACAGACGACCATCCGCTCGATCAGAAAGGAAACAAGAAGGTAGGAGGGCGGGAAGAAGCCCAAACCTGATCAGCCTGATACTCTAACATGGTTCAGGAGTCTTCCTCTTTCTGAAATCTTCACATTTAGCCAGTGTAGCACTCTGGGTGGGTGGGGATACCCTATGGGACAATCAACTAACCTGTAAAGAGTACAAAATATTGTAGGGAATTGATGGTACATAAAGCTGTGCAGTGGGGGGGTTGGGATTGAAGGCCCCACAGGTGTGGTTCCTGTGCCCGATGTGTCCCTCACATCAGGCGGTGCTCACCTCTCTACCTATCTATCTATCTATCTATCTGTCCACCAAAGGAGCAGGATTCAGAGCAGACCACCCCCAAGAGGAAGTTCAGCATGAAAGCCGTGCAGGATTGGCTCGGTTCCTCCTTCAAGAAGGAGGAAAAGCCTCCCCCTCCTCCCCAGCCCGAGACAGTGGAGGCCATGGCCACGGCCATGGATGTGGGGATATCAGCCGGGCGGCCTGACGTGTATGAGAACATAGGCACCAACTTGGAAGCCCCGAAGGTACCTTTGCAAACGAGGCACCGCACAAATATGGCCACCAAAAAATTAAGATCCACACCCTTAAGTTGGCACTGGCACCCAGACTGGGCCCCGCCCATACGAACCCATGGATTGGCTTTGGGAATGGCAGTAGGTGTAAGGAAACTGGACTGTCTTGAGTTCAGGATGTCTTGAGTGGTTTCTATGGATGAAAACAATTTCACATGCGTGCCTTTTAACTTAATGTTCAATATCAAAAGAAGCCCTATTTTTCAAACTCCATACCACTATGCAGCTGATTTCACTCAGTCTGTAAACTACATTTTGTACAAAAATCTTACTTTCATGTATAGTGCGATTGTAACTTTTATGTATAGTGAGATTGTATGCTCTTATAGATTTGTTTCAAAAAGGGGAAAAGCATTTTCTTATACCATATCAACTGGAAGACATAACATGTCATCCATGATAACTACTCAAGACTCCCTACGCACCAGTTAAGACATGCCCGCCTCTAATCACTTAGGTAGACAGCACTTCTAACCCCCAAGCTTTTCTCTCTTCAAAATACATTCCATTCTCATGTTACCATTACATGTACATGTTATAGGGCTGAAATACAATCTGCATACGCCTGTCAGTACAGGTAAAATTGGAGTTGTGCAGGTATATTCTATGATGTTTACCTACACCCATTTATATTCGTTGTACTGATTGTTACCACTTCGAAAATGTCAAACAAAGAATTGAAAATAATGGTTTCCAGTTTCCAGTAAAACCTCCCATAGATGGCAAAATCTGTGCTGCAAAATGAAGAAAACATTGCCATCAGGCATCTTCAAGCGTCAACCTTCATGTTACGTGGCCAAAGTTTTTCTCATACAACATTGCAAGGTTGCCAACATGCAATTCTGTATATGCTATGGGTTTTAGGTCTGGACTTACGAGTCCGGAACTGAACCTAAACCTCTGGACTTGAATCCGGACCTGAACCTAAATGTGGGTTTAGGTACACAGCTCTAATCAATACACAATGAATCCACTTTTCCGAGAAAGTGCTGCAATTGAAATTCGACTGGTGTAGGTAAGTTTTCATGCTATCTGTACCAGTGCACATATGCAGAAAAACGTATTTCCAGCCCTGACGTTGCTTCCAGTGATCCACTTGCTTGCCCTCTGTTCTAACTGCACGTTACGTGCCTGTGTTTGTCTCTCCCCTTGTTTTCTGCCCAAAGGTCCCTCCCAAATTCAAGTATCTCTTTGGCGACGAAGGCGAGTTTTACGAAGACGAGGGTTACGACGAGTACGGCCCTGCCGCCGACACCACCCCGGATTCAGGGATCGGTTTCGAATCAGAGTCCACGCTACGACACAGGAGGAGATCCCCACACACATGTGCATTAGACGTCTTCGAGCCAACGGTAGAGGAGGCAGCGCCAGTAGGAAAGGACGAATATCTGGAGAAGGAAGGAGAGCTGTACTTGGAGGAGGTGCCACCCGGAGAAGAAGGATATCCCGAGGAGGAATATACAGCTGAAGATCAATACTTGGAGGTAATTAGGAATCAATATGCTACAAAATGTAGTATCTGATATCCATATCAGATATACATATCAGATACTAAGGACATGACAGAAAACCAGCATTTAATGCTAACCCTAATTAGAGATAAAGGTATGTCTATGATTTGTGCATATTTTATTATGTTTTATGTTTTTTTAGATTCTTGCATGAAGAAATGTTTATTTTTCACACTCTCATGCAATAAAGGACTGCTTTGTTTAAGGCATACTAAACCTGTGCATTACAACATTTTGCTGATACCCATGATTTAACAAATTCCATATTAATTCATTATTTGCATTCCGCCATAGTGTCGAGCCTTTTACTCAAACCGACTTTCATTTTTCTTTTCTTTGTATCATTGTGTGTTTGCAGTGTCTTTCTGATTTCTCCCCTGAACTTCCCTCCAAACCTCCCACCCCTGTTAACCACCGCATCTGTTTAAATGTACAAAAGCTTAAGAAGAAGGTGAAAACACTATAACCACTCTTGCACTTTGTTTCGAAAGTTAAGAAAATAGTCTGTAGATTTTGCCACAGTGCAAAAATTTATGGTGTTTTTTGTTGTGACAGTGCCATGTAGTCTTATGTTGTGTGTAAATTTGATCATAAAAGGCATTGTCTTGAGTGCGAAATTGTTGCTCTCCTTGACAATTCCCTGTAAAGTATAAGAAGGATCTTTATCAACAACCATTAGGCTTTTTCATCATGTACATCTGACACTGCAGTTACTGTCTCACCTTCTTCAGGGCAACAATGACCGATTCTGATCTGTACTGCATTAGGCATCGCTGAAGAAGATGACAGATGGTCATGGAAACAAATTGGGTGTAGAAACCTAGCCTCCTTCACAGACTTGTTGGGCATTGGCGTTATTGTAATTTTTTTCTGTGAGCGACGCGAGTAATATGCCGCGGAGGGACGATCGATTTTGCTGCCGAGGGAGTTTTTGCTGTGGAGAGAAGGTTTTGCCCAACAAGTCTGCGAAGGAGGCTAGTATAAGCCCATGCACTGGTTGTTGAATAAAGAACCTTGTTCTGCAGTCTCTTGCCAACCTGTTGACATTATTCACAGGATTCGTTGTAGTGTTGTGCAGACGATTGTTGTCCTCCGTTGTGTTGTGAGCATGTGAGGTGTTCTGTGTCCTACAGGAGTACCCGGAGGATTACATCGACACCCCACTGGAGGAGGCAGAGGCAGTGGCAGCGGCAGCCCCGATGAGTATGATACACACGGTGGAGGCGCTAGAACCCGTAACACCGCCGCCCGTAGCAGAACCGGAGCCCAAACCAGTGCCCGAGCCCGAGCCTGCACCAGCAGCAGCGCCCGTCGAGCCCCTGGCTCCGAATGGGAAGCCGATCGCTGCCGCCGCCGCCGCCCCAACCGAACAGAACGTCGTGGATACAACATGGAAACCAGCGTCAGAGATTATGATGGTAAAGGAGGTGGTGAGTTATTCTATAGAAATGGTTAAAAGTGTCGCCATGTTTGTTTTGTCCCCACCCCGCTTCTAATGCCCCTTGATTCCAGGCCCAGGAATAACCTTTGCTTAGCACAAGACCATAGGTTTTATTTGGCAGTACAATAAAAAAATAAATATTGTAATGTTCAGAAAAACAGGACTTGGGAACACATTACATCACGTGGAAGCATCAGGCAGTTTAGACTTAAATGGTGGAGGATTATGACACCTAAACATATTCAAACAATGGATTTACAGAGTTGATAGTTTTATTTGGCAGTACAATAAAAAATGAACTGCAATGTTAAGAAAAACTAAGGACATGGGGACACAACGATGCATCACGTGCAAGCGTCAGGCGGTTTAGACTAAAATGGTGGAGGATTATGATATATACCTAAACATATTTGAACGATGGATTTACAGAGTTGATGGTTGTTGACACGTTTTACCCATAAATTCTCTTAAATAGAAATAATTCATAAAGCAGAAAACAATTTTACTTTCATTTCACAGTCCAACATCAAAATTTTGGACTACTGTCAGGTCTGGATTGCCAAATGGTTAAAAAGAGAGCTCAACTCATAACTGTCTTATTTTAGCACACCTGAAGAAACTGTCATTCAATGTTCTGCTTCTATACTGGCTAGATGCCACAACATACCTACATGTTGTATAACTTGGCCTCTGTTATATGCTTAGTAATGCTTCTATGGGAAACAGATTGCCAGGCTATTAAGCATACCTAAACATTGATTATATGACAGTATTATAGACTAAATCATGCCTGCAGGCATGACAAATGATAGTAAGAACTTCATATTTCTGTTAAGTAAATGACCCTATGAAGAATGTACTGAAGCTGTGCTGTATATCATATTGTCCAGTCCGAGGTCTAAAGACCCTGTGGATGTACCAGCCACAAAATATCCTAGGAAAATTTTCACGTATTAAACTAAGAATGAAAGAAGAATGAAAAGAAAGTGGAGAGGATTTGAAGACCAAATTTAACAGTCATGTGTAAACAGACAATTTAGCAAACAGATTGTTAAAACATCATGGGTTTTGTTTAATGCCTCAGCTGGGCCATGAATAAGTGGCATACCATCTCCCCATGCCTTCTATTTTTGTACCTCCCCAAGCATTGGTCTCTCACTGAGTAGCTCTCTTGTGTCTTATCTGTAATCCCTGCTGTTGTTTGTGTTGCAGAAAAGCCATATTTCACTCCAAGTGTGCATCCTTCCTTACTGTAGATTGCATACCTTGGTTAATGGTTATGATTTGTGTCTCCCTTCCCAGTGTTGAGTCAGCTGTTTGCGAATGTTGTATTATGTTTCTTCTGTGTGGGTTAGCCAGGGCTCGGCCTGAATTCTAAAACTGGGACATGAATACCTAGGAACAGACCTCTGAAACAGACACATTACGATGGTTCAAACAGTTGCCACACTGGCTTAAAAAGCTAAGCTGTGTCCCATTTGCATATTAGCTATTTAGGAGCGTGATTGATGTAGAAGACATCCTGTAACCCCTCTTTGGCTGCTATTTCGGGAATGATAAATTTTGCCTTAAAAAACACAAGCTTGGTGCTGCCAAATGCTGATGGAGGGATTAGGAATTGCGACACTCGTCTGTGGCATCCCGTGAAATGTCATCATTAAGTCAAAAATATAATTCGACAAACACTTTGAGAGGAAAGTTCTGGATGTGGGGTAGGACTGAGCAGATATCGCGTGCATACTTGTGTCGTTGACACGGAGAAAAACAACGTCCAAGAAACTAGCGGGCCGCGATGGCGATGGGATATTCCATTTCCTCGGTTTGAATGGCAGCCACAACTGAGGAATGCCGGCTGATACAGTGAGAAGCGGTCCCACACAATGTGGCACAAGAGTAACAATAGCAGCATGCCAGCACCGATATAAACTGGTATGCAGACACGGCAAACCTCGGGACGGCTAAAATTACCCTCTCCAAGTTTTGGTCTAGCCAGCAGCTTTGGGCAGAAATGCGACATTTTAATCCATATGGAGGTATTCAAGGGTTAAGGAAGGATGGCACAACGGTGCCCCAACGGGGTCAGTCCGGTTTCCCCACTCTGTTGATGATAAGCAGTTTGCTCTATCTTTACTGAGTGCACAAGTTACATACTCACGGCTGCCACGGCCAAATATAGATCACAAAGTAATGAAGTGGCACTGAGTGTCAGCAATACTGACGCTCTACCAGATGGCAAGCTGCAGCTTTTCTCCTTTAAGGGACGTCCAGGTCTGAGGGAAGGATTGTAGGAGAGGGTCAGTGCCTAAATACATAACAAACGACACAAAGCAGATTGGGGAAAAATTACACAAAACATTTCATCGACTAAACAAGTAGCAAAAGGCTGACAGTAAAGAATTCTTAAATCATGATAAACAGAAAAAAATGTACTACGAAATATTTGGTCAACATTCCTACAAATGTAGCAAAAACGTGCATCAAACATTATGGCATCCCTGAATGTCATCGTAGAAATATTCCAGTATTGGTAAACCATTATGGTGATTAGTTCTTAATCCAGTTCAGATATAATTCTTATCTTGCTTAAGTAGAGGGCTGGTAAAACCTGTTTTTACCGAAATGACTTGTGAATTGGGGTGAACCAAGTCATGCAAGGCAATCTTTTTCTTTCTGTTCCTAATGTCCCTGCAAAAAACTTCAGCTCACATCAACCCTAGACTTTGTTGGAGCTCCGTATCTTGAATCATAGTGTCAGACACTAATGTTTTGGCCTCTTCATGCTTAACACCATTTCTTGTAGTACGTAGCAGCTTTGCTTTGTGTTTCTTGGAAAGGGGTGGTACACACAAACTGGCATCTTATCTCCAAGCAGATTCTGTGGGGTAAGTGGAGTCTATATTGGCCTCTTGTATCCATCGTGGGGTGGCCAATGGATACGTATCGAGGTGTCCAGTCTTGTTAGCTTTAGTCCGCTCCCCGCCAACATTGTCAGGGAGCGGATCTTGGGGAGCGTACTAAAGCTAACAAGGCTAGACACCAGGCTAATGGATACAGGCAGTCATTACCCGGTATAGACTTACCTTGCTCCACAGAATCTGCTTGGAGGTTACATCTGAGCATCATCCAAAAACCAACTCTCCAACTTGTCTCACCGAGTGATTTTCCGTTGCTCCCTCCTTGCAGAATCCGACAGCCCACATCATCATCCTGGTGATACTGTTGAACATCGGCTTTGCAGTGCTGTTCTGCCACTTCCTGACGTGAAGACGTCCGAACGACGCGGAGGGACGACTCGGGTGTGACCAATGGCGACGTGTCAGGGTGGGGTGTACCGGCTCCCAGCAAGAGGGCCCGATGCCATGCTCGCATGGGAAAACATGACCGCTCTTCACTATCTGTGCTTGAACCATCAAGATCCACCCCATCACCTGTGACAGCACTGCCTGCATCGGGCCCTGTTTATTTTTCTTGTGTATGCATTTACAAGAGGAAAAAGAAAGAAAAGACCGCAGGTTCGAATCACGTCAGAAAAACAAAATCATGCTCTGCATCCATACTTTTTATATAAGAACTAAGAAGACATGTATATTCATAAAAAATTCTCATGCTCTGCCTTGTAATTTCTCAAACACGACAGATGAAGAAGACTCTACATTCGTTCTTGGAAATAAACAGACTACAAATCTACATGTGTAAGTTTTTATTGCTACTTTGTGAGCCTGTCGATGATAATATTGGCATCATCTCCCACCTGTCCATCATGTTTAAGAGACTTTAAGGCCATGTTGCCTGTTTGGAGAGTGGAAATAAGAAAGAATTGGATTGTGGGATTTGTGGAGGGTTCTGGGTAACCGAGACCTTTGACCCAGATGGCCTGTTGTGTTGAACTCTGGGAAGGGAAAAAACGTAGCCATTTGTAGTCAGAATAATAGTTAGACATATATGAATGAATAGAACGGTGACAATGGAAAAAAATTGAAATAAAAATGAAAACCGAAAGGTTTGCCAAGAAAACATAGTTTTGGGAGAAAAAGAGTGAGAAAAGGAAATATTTTTCTGGCCACAATTCAGATTCAGACCTAGTCTTTGCCAGTGATTCTAACTTGCATGTTGAGTGTTTTTGAATGGAGAGCTGCCCGCCCTGTGGATTGCAGCTAGACTTGTTGCCAAAACCTTAGTGTAAGCAATGGCAATCCTTTTCTTGTAAATTCATTGTTTGCTGCATCACAGGAAAGTGTCAAGAAGGAATGTGCTTTGAATCTTGCACATTTGTACAGTATATTCAATGAATTTGTGAATGGATTTCTTTGTTACGTTTTTATACTTGTGGTCCAAATGTAGTCATATCATGTGCGAAAGCAAAAAAACTCTCTGCCTAGAATGTAGTTGGACTGCAGAGTTGTACTACTATACGTGTTGTCATGCCTCTACCATGTGCTTATTCTGATGTACGTTTATTTGACACCCTTCTTCCACGCATATGTACCTACCTTATACAGCTGTGCATGTGTGTCTTAGTTTTGTCGAGAGAGAAAATAAAAAACGTGCACACTCACTCACTTTGCTGAACCCTTGTAATCTGGAACACCTGTATTGTTGTGAGGGTACTTGTAATGCTTGTCACAGTCAGCTATCAAACATGACTGGATGATGAACAACGTTGTTAAGTGAGACAAAAATCAATCGAGACAGCATCAAGTCCCCCCTCCCCCTCCCTCGAGTGCTGGTTTTCTGTATTTACCATGTGCAATGTTTTCTGACCTTATAGACTTTTCAATCAATGATCCAAGATAGGAGATGTATCCATAGTGGTGTGTTTTCATGTTGATGAGCAGCCTAGATTTACAAACCAGTAGAGGTGTCGAGACAAAAAATCTTTTCAAATGGGAACTTTTCATACAGTACAATAAGCTGATTTTCCAGTTAAAGGCATATTTTATATGTCTTTAGTGTATGGAATTCTAGTCTCCATGTAAATAAAGGTTATGCAGGTGCAGTTTACATGAGATCTGGCTCCTGGTTATTCTTTGCCTATTTATTGGATAGAGTTATTTGCAATCAGTAATTTTCACACTACAATGTAGTACAGGAAGCGAAAGAAACCCAAATCAGGTTAAGCTCCTCTAACCTATATCTCTGACATACACTGTACAAGAAGTATAGAATTCGTCCACAGGATGCACATTTGAAAGGAAAGTGCTGGTAGCCATTGGAAACCAACATACCCACACAAAGAAAGATCATGAAAATCCTGGCAATCTAAAAAAATTTGGTCCCTAAAATAAAAGGATGGGTAAATAGTTTTTCATAGCACGTCGGCAGAATGTACTGTGCATGCACAAAACCCACAGTTTTTGTTGGATGTTTGGTCAACATTGCTTCAGAATTTTGCCTGTTGCAGAGTATATCTTTAAATTTCCAACACAACTGGAAACTACACACGGGATGTTAACCTTATATGCAGGAATACGACTTTATATGAGAAGTTGTGCCGAATAGCTATGCGTAATACATTACGGGTTCCACGCAGGTGCAGTACGTTCTGCCGACGTACTGTTTTTCATATACAAGGGTGATTCCAACCCAAAACATGAGCAAAAAGGGCTTGACTTGTAACCTAACCTGTATTTATACGAAGAAAATGCTAAAAATATGTTGATGATGTCAATCAAGAGATGAAAGGGTAAGTAATATAAAATTAATGAGACAAAATCAGGCTCCAGTGATAATAATACTTGAGTTCCCTGTTCTTGATTTATTGCACAAACTGGTCAAGGCCAAATTCCAAGAGTTTGCCAGATATAGATTTGAAGACCAAGTTATCATATCGTGTGAACAAATGGACATTCTTTTGGTGGCAAGAATAGTATTTCAGTCAGCTTTTAAATTAAAGATTTAAAACCATGATTTGAGGCAACATATTGCAATGCTACATCCTACCCTTGTCACTTCACATTCAATTTATGAGCTCCAATAACTTATATCAAGGCATGTCAGTGTAAATCACAAGGATGTAGTTCCTTCTACCTTGGGAAATCATTATTGCTATTATAAAAGTCACACTCATAAAGACGTTTTATCCTAAGCTGATTGGATTCTCCACATCTTCATTTTGTGTTCTTTTTCCTGGAAATACTGGGTCAAATAAAACCATAATTCTTGCACTAGGGGCCTGACCAGTGGAAGGGCTGCAGATCAGATGTCTGATTTAGTACAGGCTATAGTGTGCCAGTGATTCCAATCACTATCCAATCTAACAGCTCTCACAATAAAAGCAACAGTCTCCATCTATCAATGTCCTCCTTCCTGGCTCTCATCTTCGGTTGTTTTGGCTTGCTCCTCGTGGAACAACTTGGCCATCTGGAAAGCAATCTTCTTCAGGGCCTTTTCAGAGAATGACTGAGTCTCCTCCTCGGCACTTTTCCTGGCTAGATCCATCCAGTGGTCCTTAGTTCTACTGAAGAAGTCTGCTACATTCTCGCTGGCAAGTACACTTGGATGGTCCTGTTTTGTTTCCAAGCCTCCTTCATCAGAATCTATGCATAACACAGTGGATGTCATGCAATCTGCCTAACTCTATGACCACAACATTTTATTGAACACAAAATGTCTTACTCTGAGGGTACATAATAAGGTGCAATGTACATGGCTTTTATGCCCGTTGCAATTGTTGCAAATAAAAAAATTTAGAGGCCAAAAATTTAGAGGACATTTGTGGACATTGAGTTTCACAGTTATTTATAGTCCATATCTTCGAAAATAAATACCATAGAAATACATTTGCTGTGTCTGAAATCAATAACACAATGCAATGAAAGACCCCTAATTATAAGGTACTGCTTGAATCCCGAGTCTAGCAAGGGTTTATGATGACAATACCGAGCAACTTTGCGAGTCTACAAAATAACATCATGAATATGTGAAGAAAACCCCTTCCATGCAGTGGAACCAAACTGCCTAACTCATGGAGCACCACCATGTGACTGCCATGCAAACTGCAACTACTTGAAAGTTGAAACCCTAGTCATTCTCCTACCTTTTCAAGCAATTATACCTCATCAATCATTCTTGTTTTTGCCTTCTGGCTAGATTGTTTTCAGGAAACAAGTATGTTGTTACTCCGTGAAGGAGGTCAGGACCTCCGGACGGAGTGTTGTAATCGGCTGATTTTTCATGTTCGCAGTCAAAACACTGGGTTCTCTTTGTGTAATCGGCACGCAATTTTATACGCCGTCTGCGGGCATGCCCGTGTTGATGCACGAATGTGTATTTTTGCCGTTGCTGCTTTCTCGGTCAATGTAATATTGCAGACGCACCCCTACAATTACGAGGCGAATTGGAATGGTCCAGAAAAACGCGTTGTTTGGAATAGCAGTGGGGGGGTAAAAGTTCATGCAGATACGGGGTGGTTTTGATAAGTGGTTCCAGATGTTTTTGCCCATGGTTAAGAGATGCCAAGTTTTTTGGAAGATGTTCGCAGCCAAAACGCATTCTTCCGTACGTCGCATTTCTGTGTAATTTCGCATGTGGTGTTGCATTATGTCCGGGATGATGCACGTCTTTTTATTTTTACC